GCTCTGGGCTGATGGCTCAGAGCCTGGAGCCTGTTTCCGATTCTGTGTCTCCCTCTCTCTCTGCCCCTCCCCCGTTCATGCTCTGTCTCTCTCTGTCCCAAAAATAAATTTAAAAAATGTGGAAAAAAAAATTAAAAAAAAATAAAATAAAATCTGTAAAGCTGACAAGGGACTAATGTCTAGATTCAGAATATGCCACAAACTTCTGCAAGTCAATAAGAAAAAGATGGGACTCAAATGGGGGAAAACAAAGATGTAAATAGGTGATTTACACAAGGAGAAATATAAAAGGCAATACACACAGAAGATGTTAAGATGTATTAGAAATCCAAGAAACACAGGGCCACCTGGGTGGCTCAGTCAGTTAAGCGTCTGACTTTGGCTCAGGCTGTGATCTAAAGGTTTGTGAGTTCAACTCCTGTGTTAGGCTTTCCTGCTGTCAGTACAGAGCCTGCTTCAGATCCTCTGTCCCCCTCTCTCTGTCCTCCCTTGCTTGTGCTCTCTATCTCTCTCTCAAAAAACAAATAAATGTTAAAAATAAACAAGCAAGTAAATAAACATTAAAAAAAAAAAGAAATACAAATTAAAACAGTTGTTAGCAATGTTAGTCATAGGAGCCCATACCTCCTAAACTAAGAAACAACCCAAATACTCATCAATAGATGAAACAAATTAGTATTCATACAATAAATACTACTTAATGATATAAAAGAATGAATTACTGATACAACCCTGGACCTCTCGAAAATATTATGCTGAGTAGAAGCAGTCCCACACAAATGAGGACATACTGTATGGTCTCAGGGGTCCTCAGCTGGTGAGCTTGTGGAGAGGGTGGCCTGTGACCCCAGAGCAAGTCATACCCTATGAATGATGTCAAAGAAATTCTTGTAAGGTAGAGAGGGAAGAAGACATTCACTGTAGAGTTATTTTCAGGGTTGGGGAGTTGTAGACAATTTGGATGTCCATTCCTGGGGACACACACAGGTAAAAGGTGGATGGATACTTTGGGGTACCCTGCAGCAGCTAGGAGCAGTCGATTAGATGTACCCACAGCAGCATGGATGGGTCTGAGAAATAAAAAAACTAAGAAACTGAATGAGGTATATAACAAAATGTCATTTATGTAAATTAAAAATGCAAAACAATCCAAGTGGAAGTGAGCCAAAGACATGAATAGACATTTCACCAAAGCAGAGATATGGATAGCAAATTAGTAATGAAAAGACATTCAACATCATCAGCCATCGGGGAAATGTAAATTAAAACCACAACGAGCTGTCACCATGCACCCATTAAAATGGCTGAAAAATAAAACAGTGATAACACCAAATGCTGGCAAGGATGTCGAAAAACTGGAACCTCTATACATTCCTGATGGGAATGTAACATGGTACAGCCACTCTGGAAAATAACGTGGTAATTTTTTATAAAACTAAACATACTTACCACAAGACAGTGGCAGCCTTGGAGCATATATCCCAAAGAAATGAAGTGTTCATACAAAACCTGTACGTGAACGTTCAAATCAGCTTTATTTGTAATAGCCCCAAACTGGAAGCAACCCAACTATCCTTCGGGGGGGGGGGTGGATAGTTGCACCCTGGAATACCCATGCCATGGACTACTACTCAGCAAGAAAAAGGAAAGAACTATCCATATATAAAACAACCTGAATGTATTGTGAGGGCATTATGGTTGGTAAGAAAAGCCATTCTTAAAAGGTTTCATTTATATAACATTCTTGAAATGACAAAACTATACAGGTGGTGGAGAGATTAGTGGTTGCCAGGGCTCAGGGACCAAGTGGGGGAGGGCATGTGACCGTGAAGGGTATGCTATGAAAGGAGATCCTCTGTGGTGCTGGAACAGTTCTGTATCTTGACTGTGGTGGTGACTACACAAAGGCATTCATGGGGCCGAATAGTGTAAAACTATGCACACGTACGCACACACCCACAAATAAGATCATTATAATAGTTGGTGAGAACTGAATGGTAAGGTCTGTCATCTATTTAACAGTATTATATGGATGTCAGTTTCTTTGGTTTGGATCTTGTATACTACAGCTGTATAACATCACCGTCGGGGGAAGTTGGGGGAAGTGTTCACAGGACCCTGTGTACTACTTTTGTCACTTTCTGTGAGTCTATGATTATTTCAAAATACGAATGTTTCTTAAGCATATGCATACCATTCTACAATACATTTTGCAAGAATGCATAGGAACAAAGGCATGTATATTAAACACCTTAGTAGCCTTAGGGGTGGGGAGGGGAGGGAGGGGGAGGAGGAGTGCAGCGGATAAAAGGAAATGAACAGCTACATTAATCAAGGGACCATGGGCTGACCAATGGGGACCTCGTGCTGGGAACCGAGGTGATTAACTCAGGGCTTTCTGCACCTGAGGTCCCACAGCCAGGAAAGGGAGTGGGAGCGGGGCAGGCGGATCACTAACATTAAAGATAAGGTCTTTTCTCAATGCATTAAAGATTTTTCCCTTTTTTTCATTAGAAGGCTGGAAGAAGATTGGAGATGAGGAGGCGGGGAAGGGGGATGGGGAGAAGGGGCAGAAAAGGGAGGAGGGAGAGGAAGTTAGAAGGGATGGTAGAGACAGAAAAGGAAGGGAGGGGAGGTGGTGGGGAGCATCCCTTTCCTGAGGGCTCAGGGCTGGTCTGGGGACCAAATGGGTCACCGTTGCCTAAGCCCTCTGGGGCTCTGAGGCCCCATGGGGGAGGCCTAGACTCCAGGAACTCCTCCCCTCCACGCGGCCCTGGCTCAGCAGGATGCAAAGTGCTCTTGGTGCCGGTGGTGGGATTTTAGCACCTCCTCCTGCCCCGCCCCCCAGCTTGTTGGGAAGGCAGCGCTCATAAGACTAATGAACACGGTTTAAGGTCTTGCACAAATGAACTGCGCTACCTTCGCTACAAATGCAGCACGTTTTACTACTAGCTGGAGACTATGAGGAGGAAGGAAGAATACAAGACAAAAGGAAATTATTGAGGAAGTATATAGAGGTTTATTGACAAGGATGCTCATAGCACATTACTTACCAAAATGAACAAATTGGAAAGGGGATAGATACCCAGTAGTAGACCTGGTTAAAAATGTATGCTACATTCACAGGATAGAATACATTGAAAATAAAGCTATGTCGGGGCGCCTGGGTGGCTCAGTCGGTTAAGCGTCCCACTTCGGCTCAGGTCATGATTTCCCGGTTCGAGTCCGCATCGGTCTCTGTGCTCAGCTCGGAGCCTGGATCCTGCTTCAGATTCTGTTCTCCCTCTCTCTCTGCCCCTCCCCCACTCACACTCTGTCTCTCCTTCAAAAATAAACATTCAAAAAATAAATAAAAATATGCAAGGATTTTTTTTTTTTAATGTTAGAGAAAACTGTCTGTGATATACTGTCATCCTAGGAGAAATCACAGAAGAGTATGCACGGAATAATCCTTTTACTAAAAGTTTTAAATGTAAACTGTGCATAGAAAAGAGCTAGGACAGTCACCAAAATATGAACACCAGTAGACTTAAGATTTGTGCACTTTATTACATACAAATTAAATCTTTACTACATAGAAATTAAATCTGAGCCTGGGTGGCTCAGTCGATTGAGCGACCAACTCTTGATTCCGGTTCAGGTCATGATCCCAAGGTCATGGGACTGAACCCCGGGTCTGGCTCCGCAGGGCTGATCGGCAAGCCTGCTTGGGATTCCCTCTCTGTCTCCCTCTGCCCCTCTCCCCCACTTACACTCTCACTCTAAAAAATAAAAAAAAAAAAAAAAAAAAAAAAAAAAAAAACCAACTTCAGAAAATATTAACCCTGGTGGTCTCCGGGCAGGTGAAATTGTGGGTATTTTTCATTGTGTTTCTGTTTTCCATCCTTTTTGCAGTAAATATGTGTTCACTTTTGTAGACAGACAACAAAATAACCACTCTATCTTTTTATGGGGGGGAGCACTCTCGGCGGGAGTCCGGCCATCCCTTTGAGGGAGGACAAGGGAAGACGTCAGAGGAGCAGTGCGCAGGCACTTAGGCCTGGCCTGGCCTGGCCTCACCTGAAGGGGGAAAGGCTGGCACTTGTCTTCCTGTTTCCCCATCCCCTTGACCAGCCAGCTCTGGCCGGCTCAGCCACTTACACTCCCAGAACTGGTTATTTCAGGAACCGCCCTGAGAACTGCTGTTGCCTTCCTGGAAGCCAGGACAGCCAGGATGCAAGGGCTGGAGAGGGACGAGCCACGGTCACTTGATAAATGCTGGATATTTATAACCGTATCTCTCACCCCTCCTGCAGATCTCGTTTCTTTTCGTTTCCCTTTCATAGCGTGGCCCAAGGCAGGTCAAGGGACGCTGCGAGCAGTATTTACCGCGGGCAGAGACGTGGGTGGTTACGTGGAGGGTGGCTCTGCGCTGGGCTCTCACTTGCCTCTCGTTGGAAACAATACGGCCATTATTGAGAGCTGACCATGCGCCAGGTGTGTGCCTACATAAACGCACTTCTCACCACAACCCTGTGAGGTCTCCACGGTACTGATGCCCACTCAGAGAGGTCAAGGATCCCGTCCTAGGTAACACAGCCAGTTAGCTGGTAGTAGATCTAGGACCCCAACTCCCGCCCGTCGGTTTAGCTAGTGAGCCCGTCCCCGGCGGCGGGGCCCAGGACAAGCGAGGCCTGGCTTCCCAAGGTCAGGGAGGGCGCAATTCCGCGGCCCCCGAAGCCCCCGCGGCCTCCTTGGGCTGACGAGCTGTAAGTAGAGGCATCCCGACGGGGGGGAGACGGGTACAGCGGCGAGTCTAGAGTGACCGCCCCCGCCCCGGGTCGCGTGGCAGTGGCAGGGCCCCGCTGGGCAGCGGGCGATCCCCCGAGGGCGCCTCCGGACAGTTCCCATAAACAGGGGCGGGGCGGGGCGGGGCTTGGCCGCGGCCCCGCATTTCCGGGGACGCCGCGCGGGACGGAGGTGTTCGGGGGGTCACTCCGCGTCCGCGGGCAGTGCGTCGGCCCGGCCGGGCAGGAGGGGCGAGCCCGAGGGCGATTCGGGAAGAGGAGCCGCGGCACAGAGGTGGCCCTGCCGTGGGCGGTGGTCGCGCGGGGGCCGTGACCCTCGCAGGTAGGCGCAGGGGGCGGGGCGGCGGGGAGCCGCGGGCCCGGGAGGGGGCGGGCCCGGGCGAGACCGAGAGGCCGCCGCCGCCCCCGCTTCCCGCCGGGCCCCTCTCCCGAGAGGGCGCCACCTGCACGCTCTGATGGGCACTGGCGCCGGCCACTGGGGGAGCGCGTTGCCATGGCAGCGCCGGAGGCTGGGCCCTCGTTCCCATGGCCACCCGGGGCCTTTGCGCGGAGGCTTTTTAATCGGTGTCTTACTCCTGCTCCCCTGCTCCCTGCTCCCAAATCTGGAATGGGAAGAGAGGCAGGCAGGCGCGCTGGCGGGAGGGAAGTCGTTTGGGATTTGGAAAAAGCCCGGGTCCCTCCTCAGAATGGAAGTCGTGGGGCCTTTGAGTTAGGGTTTTTGTCATGGCTGTTTCTGAGTGACACGTGGATGTGGGGGTTAGGAAGGAAAGACGGTTGGTTGGGATCCTGGAAGTGAGGCGGCTCTGGTGGCCACTGTGCCGTCATTCTGGTCTGGCAAAAAGACCCAGGAGCTCTGGATCACCTGGGGAGGGTCGTGAGCCCACTGCTCACGTTTCCTGACACGAATGTGAGTAGGTAATTTGATTTCTGAGTCACACGATTCTTGTAAGCGTCCAATGCCACAAGAGCGGTGAAGCTCGTGATTCAAAAAAAGTTATGTTTCCGATTGGTGCTTTATTTTTTTTTTTATTTTTATGTTTTTACGTTTTATTTATTTAAGTAATGTCTATACCCAACATGGGGCTCCAACTCATGACCCTGAGATCAGGAGTCACATGCTCCACCGACTGAGCCAGCCAGGCGCCCCCCATCCCCGTTGATGCTTTAGAACTGGAAGAGGTTTAGGAATCCATCTGATTCCATCTTCTCATTTTCATAAAAGAAACTGGACCCAGAGAAGTTAAACTACTTCCCAGGATGACAGTGGGTTGGGAAGGTCACCGTTTGAACCCAGTATCCTGACTTGCAGGCCCGTGGTTGTCGCCTTTGGTGGTTATTTTACCGAAGCTCGGGGAAATCTGGGATATGGGTCTTTGCAACCCAGGGCTCGAGCTTTTGTTGACAGGTGATCCAAACATGGACCGCGGAGGCTGGAGCCTCGGGGAGAGTGGAAAGAGCTGCCCTCCACCTCATGCATGTAGGTCCTGTGCCTTGGGCTCTTGTTTTAATGCGATATCTGACATGATTGCCTGAAATAAACCTCCAGGAGCCAAGCATTCAGCAGCTCTCCAAAATACCATGTCTTTTGAAGCCAACAGATCTGTTCAGACAGATGAGGAAGAAACCCTTTGGCTGCCCTAAAGCAGGGAAGTAAGACTTCCCACATCAGTGAGGTGCTTTTTCCTTTGAAAAGCCTGAGAGGAGGGTGGGAAAAGAGATCCAGGAAGGAACACTTGAATGAATCATTTGGAAGTGATTCGAGGCAGTCAGCTAGAGCAGAAAACTCATTTGTTCATTTATTAAACATTTACTGGGTACCCGCTCTTCTGAGCTCTGCGCTGGGGCTCGAGATTAAAAACCTGAGTTAGGCAGGCCTGGCCCCTACATTCAAAAAGCTTGTAGAAGAGGTGGCGAGAGAGGGATGCAATGTGCCGGTGAGCGTTTCACCACAGCACAGTGAGTGCCTTTTTGGAAAAGTGAGCACAGTGCAGCACGAGCCCAGAGGGGCAGCTCCGGAAATCAGCTGAAAATATCCAGGAGTCTAGCCTGCGCCTCCTGGGAGCACTTCTGGGGCTCTGCCAAGGGGGCCCTGGCTGATACCTTTGTTGGGAGACAAAGGAAGGAGTGAGTGAAAGTGTCTGGACAAATGTGGACCAGGATGGGTATTCCCTGGAAAGAACAGTTTAAGGGATCCTGGTAAACTGTAAGCAATATGAAGGCAGCAACCATGTCAGTTTCCTTCAGTGTCGTCAGCGCTGACAAGTAGCACGTGCGCAAGAAATACTTTGTCGAGTGAATGAAAGAAGGAGGGAAGGGAAGAGGGAAGGAAAAGGGGAGAGAGGAGGAAGGGAAAGGGACAGTGGCTTATATTATCAAGAGGAGAATGGCTGTACCTTGAGACGAAACCCTGGTTGCAATTCTAACTATAGGTAGAACTTGGCTTCACGTGGGAATAGTTTGCCAAACAATTCGTGTCAAGGTTATAAAACTACTTCAAAATGAGATATAATTTCTTCTTACCTGATAAAGGCTGGTTTTGGAAGGTCCCTGTGTCTGCAGATTAGCACATCTCGTGGAAATGGTTCTTGTTTGTGTGCGGGGAGGGGGATTTTTTAGTATTATATTTTGTTTTATTTTAGAGAGAGAGAATATAAGCAGGGGATAGGGACAGACAGAGAGAGAGAGAGAGAGAGAGAGAGAGAGAGAGAGAAAACCTTAAGCAGGCTCCATGCTCTGGGCAGAGCCCAGCACCGAGCTCGATCCCACGACCCTGGGATCATGACCTGAGTCAAAATCAAGAGTCGGAGGCTCAACCAGCTGAGCCACACAGGTGCCCCAAGGGAATAGCGATCTTTTTGAAATCAGAGGAAAGCTCTGATCCCTCTCACCAGAAACAACGTTTCATTGTTGGGGTTCTCAGCTCCCTGAAGCCCACCCTTGGGGTTAAGGGGCCCCCCCTGCTCTGCTTTGCTGCTCATAGGCTGTAATGAAAGAACTAAGGCAACACTTATAGAACAAGCTCCTGGGAAGATCAAGGTGGGTCTTGCTCTCATTCAGGTGGTTTATGGGGTCCCTGTGGAAAGCACAGCTGGGGGAGCTGGGGCAATGCCTACGCAGCTGGGTGGTCCAGGGCCCTCAGAAGCCCTCCTCTGCTTGGGACAAGCTGGGCCCCCTGGGAGCCTCATAGCGTACTCTAGCCCAGGGCTTACTCACAATGCATCAGTGGTTTTGCCGAGGTCATGGGCCGGGTGACTGGTATGCAAGATAACTGTCCAAGCGCGGATCTTTGCTTTCTGTGATGCTGTCTCCTGACACCACTGCTTTAGGGTGTGGTGGGTGGGTCCACCTCCCTCCCCCCGGGCAAAGCAGGGCAATGGTTCGGCCTTTGGAACTGCAGGTAATCCGTGGAAGCCACGGGTCCATCCCGCATCACCCTGGTGGGCTTGCCTGCCTCGGTCCACCCTGCAGGAAGCACGGGAACCAAGAGCAAGGTCGTCTCTCTGGGGGATAACTGGGTGACCTGAGGTGACCAGGAGACCACAGGGGTCAAAGAACCCCTCATCTTTGGGAAGGGAGAGCCTTAGGCTTCTGGAAAGGAGGTTAGTTCCCTGGGGTGGAGGAAGGGCGCTGGCCCGGGCCGTTCTCTCCCTTCGTGGGCCGGTGGCCAGGAGTCTGGAGCCCAGAGTGGGATTCAAGGAGGAAGAACTTGGTTGCAAATGGGGAAATGGATTCCTGACTTCTTGGGATCTGGGGAAGGGAGGGGCCCCAGGCCTGACGAGTCAAACTGGAAACCAGACTTCCCTAGATCTGTAGAATATCTACCTCCCACCTATGAGTGGCCACAGTGGTTTCAGAGAAGGAGGGTCCCTGTGCCCCTTCCGGGTGGCAGGTACCAAGCGTCCCCCAGGCCCTCCGGGCCCCCTGTGTGAGCAGGCCCGCAGGCACAGGCACACAGCCCCTCCTGAACTTGTCTGGGGCAGGGCAGCGACAGTGGCAACTTCATGTTCTACCGTGTCAGGACTGGGACAGGTTGAGCCCTGCTGGTTGCACCACAGCCCCGTGGGGCAGGGGATCCCCTCCCAGGGAGTGGCCAACTCAGGCCCCAACAGGCCCCAGCGGGGCTGGCACCGGAGCGGGTGGCAGGCTTTTTGCCACAGCCGGCGTGGCCGGGACCTGGGCTGGGCGGGCCAGTTCCTTCCCCCTTCGAGAGGTGCAGCCTCGGCTCTGGGCTTGCAGGAGGCAGCTGAGCCCCATGGGAGAGGCCAGAAAGGGGGTTCTCGGGCCTGGGCACATAAGGTGGTTAAAAGTGACCGAGGTCGTGCCAACTTTCAGGTGGAGCGAGGCGAGCTGCCCCCATAAGAGGCCTGGCTGTGTTCGCAGATTATTCACCGAGTGCCGCACTGCCGGTCACTCCGTGTGCTCGCTCTCCCGCCGAGCCCCCTGAGGTTCTGTTAGTGCTCCCATCTCACAGAGGAGGAAGCCGAGGTGCAGAGACGTCGGCGTGGGGTGTGGCCGTGCCCACAGCCCACAGGGTAACGGGTGGGGCCGAGATTCTCCTTGGGACAGAAGAGCTGGCGTGCTTGGCCACTGGGTTCTAGCACTTAACCGGAGCAGAGAGACCCAGGCACCGGTGGAGGGGTCCGACTAGAGCGGGGAACGGCCACGGGCCCACCGGCATTTTTTGCCAGACTCTGGTTAAAGGCTGCCTAGGGGATCCGAAGGCAGTGTTGGCGCCCACCCTGTGAGTGGCCTCAGCCGCAGGGGCTGCGGCCCCCGGAGGACGCTCCCAGCCCCCAGGAGCTGGAGTCGTTGGCAGATTTGAAAGCACACGCAGGGTGTGCCGGCTGGTGTCGCTTCCTCATCCAAACGTATTGATGCCGCAGCTGAACCGCTGCCCAGCCCCCGGGGAGGTGCCCAGCCCCGGCAGGGGTGGGGGGAGGGGAAGCTGCAGCTGCAGGTTGGCACGAGAGGAGGGCCCAGGGCTACGAGGGGCTGGTGGCGGGGGGCCAAGGCCCCGGGGAGCTGGGCCGCAGCCAGTGCGTGTCTGTGAGGCCTGGCCGGGCGGCCTGCCAGCGGAACCCAGGACGGGGCGGAGCGCGGTGCCGCTCCGGGAGGGGCGGATGGGACCTCTGGGTTCAGGCTCCACTGGGCTTGGCGGGAGGCCCCTCCCCGTGGCCAGCAAACAAAGCAGTGACTCCCGGGGTAGAATTGTGGGAGCTGGAAAGCAAGGTTGCCCTGGGTGGGAATGAGAGCAGGCGGGCCTGGCCGCGGTGGGGGCGGGGGTGGGGGCCCCCGGCGGGAGCCGTCGGTGCCCGAGGTCAT